CTGCGTGAGTCGAAAGATAGAGAAGATTTCCTAATTTTCGGCTGCTTTATGAGCGGTTCGTTAGATCTCCCTCTTCTCAATGCCCTTACTTGGAAACCTGTAGGCTGGCTTTCTGATGTTGGGTAACTTATTTCGTTGTTCTTTTGGTTGGGCTAATGGGAGTCGCTGCCTTATTATTTTCAAACTTTGCAACGGATCTCCCGTAAGATCGTAAGGATCGATTGGATTTTATGCTTTTTTTCCTTAAGGAATCTAATTGCGTTTTTTATTTTACCTTTCTTTACTACACTCGCCTTTTATTCCTGCTTTTTTCCCGGACAAACTTTTGTTGATTAGAAATTGGGGTGGTTTGTTCAGCAACAAGATCTTTATCTAGCAGATTATGTGTTCGGCGTTTCTTAACAGTGAAAAAAATCTTGTGAGAACATGAGAAAGTGGTTGTTATAAAAATGTGGCGGAGCTTGACAAAGGAGATGAAGATGCACTTTGTAACGAATTATAAGATTATAATGAATACTGCTCCTGTATCTACCAAGGGGAATATGTATAATTTATTAATTAAGGCTCACCCCCTTTTTTGGTTTTATTTTTTTAAGTTAAAGAAAGCATTTACAACAAATAATTTGTAAGCAAAAAACAAAACCGATTTCAATTCTTATAAAAAAATTTAAGAGTAGTGTTAATTTCTTCATGATCCAATCATCGTTTCTAAACCAAATTAATACAGGACCACCTCTGAGGTACCACCTTTCCTTTAAAAGAGTTATGGAAATCGGTTAACGTGGTAAGATTCAATAAAAAAATATTCCGACGAAGTGATAACCTCCTTCCTTTTTGAAGTCGGTTAAAAAGTTAAAAATTACTTATTTCTCCACAGTAGAAAATATGTAGCAGTAATAGGAATCCTAATAACATTCCACTGTTTATATTATAAATAGATGTTTGTGCCACTTACTCATAAGCAAAATAAATAAATTTGTGTACATTTTGGCATAAACATCCGCAGTCTAATTATAAAGTCACCCTGACACCGAAAAAAAAGCTTTTATCCTGATCTACACAAACTTATACATACATATGTATGCGCTTTATTGTATCGATTAATATCCATCCAAAACAACAAAAAAAAGACTGAAAAAAGTAAATCAGCAACAAATTGCCTATCATTATGCCACAAATTACGACGTTTATCTACAATAAAAGCAAATCAATTTGAATTAAGCGCCCCCAATAAAAAAAAACCAAGCCGTTACCCATAAACGGATGGACACGGAAAGGCCAAAACAAAAACGAGAAGAAAACAAAAAACAACAAAATTGAGCTCAATTTCAGATTGTAAATCAAAAGGCGTTGAGGTTGTTGCGCCAACTTAAAAAATATAACAAACATCAGCTAACAAATAGTACCTACATATAAAACCATAAAATGATTGATACAATTTGGCGGCTACACTGACATTCCAAATAAGAGTTGTTATTACGAGTATGCAACGCGAAATCGCTTGCTATGTGGAGGAGTAAATAAATACAAGCCTGCTTTTAGGCGCAAAGGCAGGAGAATGCTTGTGGAAAACGATGTTGCGTGTAGTTGAAAACTAACTGCGCAATATAGGGGCACACACAGAAAAACAAATACATATAAATGCGACGCGGAAATTTGCGGTAAATATTACATGCATATACATATGTATGTATGTATGTATATACGTTGCAGCAGTGATCAGGCATTGCGGCGAGGAGCGCAGTTGAAGTGCAGCAGATGAGCAATATACCGTGATAATTTATGCACCCCAGTGGAAAAGCGTCAAATTTGTGTATTAAAAATGGCCACAAGCGACACATGGCCGGGGCTGCGCTTGAATTATTGCATGTGCCTGTGTATGTATGTATGTATGTAGGTGATTGCATGTACATATTTGTATAAGAGGTGAGCATGAATGTAACTCGCGCTATGTGAACTCGGGGAAAACAATAAATTATTACACACACATTCCCATAACAGATAAACTCAAATGCACACGCATGCACCCACATAGATATACATACATATATACTATATCATCGATTGACTACGGCAGACATGCAAGTGAGAGGCGAAGCCAAATTGTAGGGGGGGGGCGAAAAGAGTTTAAAAGGTTGTAGTTTGCGCATTTCGAATACATATTCCCCAAACGACATTTGCCGTTATGGGAAATTTTGCATAAAAACAACTAAAAAATATACACGGTGAGAAATCTGGGTTGGCTGCATAGCCCCAAAACAACAGCAACAACAACAACACGTGAACATAAAGCGCTGCCAACACTGGGCGCGGGGTAAATAAATAATTTCGAATGGAATAGTGAAAGCTTGCAAGGGGCGCAAACATCGCTGGGGTGGAATAGGGCACAAATGAATGTAGATGAAAAGGGCAACTGTAGCATACTTTTTATTTTGCGTGCCGCTTTCCGCAGTTTTCTATTTTATTTTATTTTACTTTTCGATGGTATACTTTATGGGCTCATCAGATTTTTATGCGTGCAAACCTTATAAAATATTCCCTTTTTTCTGATGGCACTTAATTTGATTGCGCAACTTTGGGTCATGGATAGTAGCTTGTTTTTTTTTTGTGGCTACACTTTTCACTTCATTAAAAAAAAAAAATAAAAATATTGCCTTTGTGATGAATTGTGGTCAATTAACTGCTAAATTAAATGGTCAAATTAACTAGCTTTTGAAAAGGAGGAAACTAATTGAGTAGAAAAAAAGTGTAGGTATAAATAAAAGTAAGAAGTAAAAAATGAAAAGCCAAATGGAATAAATGATAAAATGATAAAATGAAGGTTCAATGGGTCTTATTATTTGAACATATATATGCGCATTAGGGTGGTCCAAAAAGCCTGTGAAAAAGTGAAGTCGGAATTTTTATGCTCTCACCCCGAAAAAATATACCTTTATTTTTTTATATTTTTTTTTGAAATCAAAAAATATTTAGTGGCCGCTCAAAGCGCCCAAGGTTTACCATGTATTTTAAATGGGGAAAAAACAACTTTTCGTACAGATGGTATCGACTAGTTAAAAACCAATATTTTTCTACCAGAAAGCGCTGCAGAAGATTCCCAGTAATAATACCCAATTGTTTTTTAACCATTTTTTCACCGCAACTATAATTTATAGGTCCGCCAAAAACTCACAAAAACCCCGAAAAATGCAATGGGGCGGCCAATAAAAAATCGCTAGTATTAATAAATGGTTAATTAAACAATTGAGTATTATTACTGATAGATTCCTGAAGATAGCCAGAGTTTTCCGATCGAAAAATATTGATTTTCAAGAATTCTATACCATTTCTACGAAAAATTTAATTTTTCCCATATAAAAATACATGGAAAGCTTTAAGCGCTTTGAGCGACCTCTAAATGTTTTTTGATTTCAAAATAAAAAAATAGGGATATACTTTTTCGATATAGAACAATCCTAGGGGTGAGAACATTACAATTCCGACTTTACTGTTTTTGGACCATCCTAATGTGCACATCCTGGCGCAAAATATAAATAGGGAGGGAAGAGTCATTTTAGTATTTTTTACCGGTTTCACTTTCGTTTATTCAATGAAAGCCGGTTATCTTAACGAAAACTATGTAAGTCAGAATTTCAAACTTTGCAGGAAAATTAGCAAAATTCGATAAAGTTACACCAAAATTTTAAGCTTTTTAATGCTTTTCCTTAGAAATATTCTGTGTGTGCAAATTTTTAGGCAATTCAATTCTAGTTTAATAAATAGCAAATTTTAATGAGCGGGGTATTACCGTTAATTTTTTCCTAGAAGGTGTTGCTCATTTTCTCCATACAAAGAAATCGCCGAACATACTCTTTGTATGGAGGAAAATGCGTGAACAAAAAATTGCCACAACTCAGCGGTAAGTAAAGTAAAATTTAATGGGCTACAAAACTTCAATTCTAGGAAATCTGATTTAATTGTTTAAAATTTTAATGAACATTTGTTAAAATTCGTCGAATTTTTACAAATCTGCTTCAAAGTTTGAAATTTTGATGTGCATGGTTTTTTAGATAGTAAGCTGTATTTTCATAAAAAAAATAATAAACATTTTTTAAACAAAGAAAAATAGCCAAAACTTACTATAATGCATCTTCCCTATTTACATTCTCGTCACAGAGAAGTGTACATTTTTTTTAAATCTAAAACTAATAAAGTTAGAAGGACGAAATTCGAGGATGTAGTAGTTAACATATTAGTCCTTGACATATATTTTTTTCCCAAAAACAAATATTTGAAATTTCCAAGGATATTTTAGGATTAAATTTTAAAAGGACACTTATTCGTCCTGGTGCACCGAAAAAATATATATTTTTTCGATTATGCAGAATTTTTTCTCTTAATTGATACCCATATTGTTGCTCTATAATGCACCAAATCTTTTGAGTAATTTTTTTATTCAATCATATCCTAGAAATTTCAAAGTCCTTAAAAAAAATCCTGATGTCAGAGAGAAAAATTAAAAACGCCGTTATACTATATTTAGCTCCTAGTTTTGTCAATATATTGAGTTTTTCGTTTGTTTGAAAAATTTTTGGTTTTTGTCGCACGGTGTAATCAATACCCTCTATACGCAATTTCAGGTGACTGTTTTTTTTATATAGCCAAATTAAGAATTGTATCGAAATTTCAGCTGAAATTGAGAATAGCGTCGAAATTGCGCAAATTGGATGTCATGGGAACGCCCTTTAAGATATCGATATGTATTTACCTAACAAGATTTGAATTCGTCTGCCGAAACGTTTTTCTTTAAGTCTTCTAGTTAACAAAGGTTTATCACTCACAAAATATAAATAGGTTTTACAGCGAGGTGCGGCAGCATAGTTTTTACACATAATAAGTTTACACATGGTGAAAATATGATTTTACTGAATTACTCCCTAATTATTAAATTCCTCCATTATATTAGTATTAAAGTACTGGCATTGATTTATGTAGTACTATGTGCATATGTATGTACTCACTTGTAAGCGTATTCCAAATTATCGCCACACCCACCCCACGTCCAATCGTCATGCAATTGCTTGGGTCGTGAACCGCGTGAACAGCCACATGATGCCAGCTGGCCGTCGCGACAGGCGCGCGCAATAAAACTGGTCACCATAGCAGCGGCGAGCGCGTGAATGAAAGCCATTTCCGGCGAACCTGTAATGAAGACGGTGTAAATAATTTGGTTTTAAAGTATAAATAAATAATGCACGCATTTTGTAAAGCTTAATTAAATGATGTTTATAGTGAAAATAGGCGAATGCGCTTGTCAGTAAGTAAAAGCGAAAGTTAAGCAAAATTAATAAATGTAGACTGATGTACATACATACGCATAGGCCTCCAAAAATTTCAATCAATAAGTGATATTTAAATCGACACTCCCAACGAAGCGCAATGCGTTGAAAGCAACACTTGTCGAAATGATTATGCGTGGCATGGCGATAACCGTTTGACAGCGATGATTGTTTGAGAAGGGCGAGTTGCCTCTACCACATACATACACATATACAAACATAGATAAGTATGTATGTATATGTGAATGTGCGCCTATGTCGCCAACGGCTGTCAATGACACTAATCAACTTTATTCCCTTCAAGTTTAATGCAAAATTAATATTGGCAATATTAATATACATACAAAGAAACATACTATGGAGACAAGCACAAACACATACAATTGTAAATACGTAGAGTTATGTGTATACTAGACGTGGTAAATAAAGTAAAGGGTGCTTAGTTAGACTCAGCACACACAAATCCCTGCCACTACTGAGACACTTTCAGGGAATAAAGATGAAACTTATTTTTTTTTTTAGCAACAAACTGGTCAATTTAATCTGCTCTACGCGATATACTTAAAACCCTGATTTGCAATGACAAAAAAACGCAGACACACGTAAACTCAATTTTAGACTGCATGTATACCATTTTTCTTTAGTACAGATCATTTCCTAAATTACTTTAATTTCAAATTTGCATTATGAATGAAAAATTTCTGAATTTATTAGGGGAAAAATTTTAAATAAATTAATAGTAAATAAGTAGTAACTTAATAGTAAAAAATATAAATCAAATCGAGCCATGAATAAGGGGTTTCCAAATGTTTCGACTCCAGCGCCATATTCCATTATTGTCGGGTTATGAGCTAAGTTAGTGAAATATTGATTGCAAAATTACATACAGTCACTCACAAAAGTATTCGTAATTTAGCTTTTTTACAATACTCAAAATGTTTTTCATCATAAATCTGACTCGTTAATTTTAAAACAAAGCTAATTCCATAACAAAAACGATATAAATAGATTTTGCAAACTTTGTGCAAAATTCGCAAAAAATAATCAAACTTCAAAAAATTTTCATCAAAATTTCAAACAGTAACATTGAACGTGCACTTTATTATATGGAATTAAGCGGGCTAGAAAACTGCATACAGGAAAATTTTCTAAAAAATCGTATTAAAATGTTTGAAATTTTGACGAAAATTTTTTGAAGTTTGAATAATTTTTGTGAATTTTTTAGAAAGTTTACATGATTGTTTATTTTATAGAATGAGCTATATTTTAAATACAATTAACAAAAGGGATTTATGATGGAAAAATTATATTCAAAAATTTTATTGAGCTATTTTTTTATGAAAAAGTTTGTGGAAGAACAAAAATAATTTACAAAGGTTGAAGTTATAGCTGTTTTTTTTTTTTTGGATATCACTAATCTCCTCATCAGACTTCTTTGTATTGTAAAAAAAACTAAATTACGAATACTTCTGTGAGTGACTGTACATACTACCTTCAGTTGTAAGGTTGAAAAAAGAAAGCTAAGAACAAAGAAAATCGGTGGATATTTTCTATGAAATATGAGCAAGAAAAAATGTTTCTCATACGCCTTGCACGAGTAAGTGCACGTATTTGGTATACTTAAGGAGTAGGAAATTTAGCACTTTAGGATCTAAGCGGACTCAAAACAAAACAACTGATTTGGTTCCCGGTCCGTAAATGCATACGGAGTAATTAGGAGGCTGACAGACTAGCATGGGTAGCAGCGGCTAATGTAAATGCATTAACAGACGGCTGCGTTGATCCGGATCAACTCGGATCAACCCTGGGAGTTAAATATTGGAGGATTTCTTTTTCGGTAGAAACAAATTCCCGGAGAAGAAACTCCCCGGGAGTATTCAGAATTGGGCTGAATACCTTTTCTACAGCTGGGGTGAGCTTTTGTTATGTTAACTTCAACGATTCTTTAATTTATCATTCTTGAACATCTGACATAAATTCGGTAACATTTTAGTTTGGAATTTTACTTAAAAAGAATTTAGTAAAATTTCGCCCAAGCTGGGCTCAAACTGGGCCTTAAATAGAGTTTTAGAAATTTATTATTTGTTATTAAATATGCGTATATAAAATATTTTTTTTGATAAGTACCATCTAAGCACCCTGTCTCTAGTGTACCTATTTACAAGCATAAATATATACCTACCTTTTGACTACCATGACCAATAAACACACATTCACACTTGCGCTTATTGACCCACTCAGCCAACTTCAGTCAGCCAAGCAAGTAAACTGTACATTTCCGCTGCCTAGGCGAAGCTATTGCGCGGCGAATGTAGAGATAATGAGGAGTTAAGAGAGAGGAAGCACAACAAATGGGTGCAACGATGCGTATACGTGTCGTCAGCCAAATGTCACTTCAATTTGTTGCACATCAACCAAATAAGTTCTAGAGGAAATGGAAACATACAGCATCCCGCTGTTAGGCAGCTGCCTCGTATATCAGCAGATATGTATGTATGTATGTATAATTACACATAGAATTCTAGCCGGATGCAGCTTATACATATACATACATATCGTACACTGCCAAAAAAAACCCGCGACGAAATAAGAAACAAAAGCTCCTTTTTTTCCTTCGTTTGAAGCGATGGAATTAAAGTGCACGGCTTTCTACATCTTTTTTTATAGAATAGCCAAATACCCTCCGGCTAGCTCCATCATCTTAGAGCTTATTGGCCATGTTACGCAGGGCTGTGACTTTACATGAAAGCAGTGAAAGAAATGAGGTTTGCAGAAAGCTAACTGGAGGTGGTACACTGGCGGTATCCTTGCAGCCGGGGGCTCGGCTTTGGCTTTCTCCCGAATTTTAGTCTGTCACGGGCGAGCCTGAAACGAAGCATGACCCGTAAGTATCGTGGTAGGTTTTGCAATGTCTTACATTAACACTGGGGACTCTCTTTCTAAAACGGTATCCGTCGTCAGTATCGATCCCCTATTTACGCGATAAAGCGAAATAGAAGAGGGCACCTGCGGAGGGGTGCTGGATAAGATCATTGAGGATTACAATCATTCACTCAAGCAGCGTCGGCCAGTCGTTTGTTCCTCCTTGTTTCATTCTTAAAATCTATGCTCATCCTGGCTCCTTATAATTAGGTATCGCGCATGTCTGCTTGGAGCATTCCCAAAGTTTAGTCCTTCTAAGTCCGTCGTGCATACATTTTTTTATTGATGAATCGCACCCAAACAAAGGTTTACAGGAATTTGAGGAGAACGAAGAATGTATATTGTTAATTGCAGCAGACTGCAAAAAAAATTCCCGCGCACTCATTGACTGCCAAAATCTTTGTGGGGAGTTGATTGATGAGTTAGTCGGTGTGCTTACTCGGGTTTGTAAAGGTGCGCTTGAGGCAAGGCTAAACTTCATTGGGAGAGCTCTCCGCTCTAAGGGCTTCTAGTGGACAACTTTTAAACAAAATCCAACTGCTGATTGGAAAAACAACGGGAGATTCGAGTATCAGGCTCGCGATAATTAGGCCAACAATGTAAAATATAAATAGTTAGTAAAAAGGTGTCGATCTATTAAACTAAAGTCAAGTTTAGTAAAAAATTTTACTCAAGCTAATATTTAACGCATTATTTTCAATTACATTCAAAAATAAGAAAAAAAATTACGTAACATTAGGAAAGCGGCCATTAATTTCAAACATAGCCGTTTATTCTGCGTGTATGAGTTTAAATATGTATATATATGCCCTTATTTCCGTTACTCACTCACTTAGGCATTAATTGTGCTTCACAGGATTACTCAACACATTTCTTCCTTGTATTGGCAAAACGAAAGAAAAAAATATATAAATAAAAGATTGCTTAGTGAATGAGGAAAATGTAGCTTCAAAGGAATATAACAAGCCGATTTTTACATTTTTTTCTTCTTTGAAGTTGGCAACGTTTTTGACCTCAATGGCAAATAAAATATTCTCAATCAATTCAGGCATACTACTTAAATAGTTACATATGTATGTATTAACTCTGCATGGTAAGGAGAACGTTTATCAGTTTTTGGCAATCGAAATGCGTCAGCATGACATCGTTTTTTGACTTAATTGAAAAAATGAATATTTTGCATGAGTCATGTATTTTTTTTTTAGGTTTGGTTTCAAATCTTCGTTAAAGTTAGATATCAAACTAACTTCCTTGTTAAATGAGACAAGTTGTGTATGCCTGGCAAGCATTTTAGTTTATTTATTTTTTTATTTTTGTCTAATACTACAAACAAGTTCATACATATTTACATTAGACTGCATCACCAAAAAAAAGTTGCGATTTTTCCGCCGGGATTACAAAACTTATTATATTTGAAAACGTTCACCAAAATATTTCGAAGCAATATTAAGATTTATGTGAGCTGGACCGATTTGAAAATACTTCCAAAAATGGGGTTTCTGGTGAATAAAAATACTTTCTTAAAGAACTTTTTGAAAAAAATCCTCTCGGATGACAAAAAAGATTAAGCTTAAAAAATCTGCATACAAATATTTAAAAATATCTTCAAGCGAATCGTAATAATGAGATTTTCGATGCTGTCTTTCAACTGGGCCAAAACTATTCCGATTTATACTTATAGGGTATCAGTAGAAAGCTATTTTCCCACTATTTTTATTTCAAAAAAAAAACTCATTCTCGCCCCAATTTTTTTCAAATACCAACACATCTTAATTCAACTAGGAATGACACTCGTTCAGCCTACCTTTCTCATTCATCCTTTGAATGAGTTTATTTGCAAATGAATAAAAAGGGTGAGAAAAGACCTTTCCATGATACCTCACAAGTCTAAATCGGAAGAGTTTAGGTTCAATTATTCAAGTTTTTCTTATACCAATGTTA